AAAAAAATAAAAAATAAAAAATTTAAAAAGAACTGGGGATGTAGCTCAGTGGTAAAGCACCCTTGGGTTCAATCACCCAGTACCAAAAGAGTCATGTGGTATTTTTGGAATGTGAAAACTGCAATAGTCTACCTTTTCTATGACTTTGTTCCCTGGAGAGCTTGAAGATGCAGAATATGAACTCTCCCAACAATAGCTCACCATTTTGGTTGCTACCCCAATGGAAGGTCTTGAAACAGACTTTAGAGGGGAAGAGACCAGGATATAATGTGGTCCACGCTCAGAGAAAGACATCTTATGCACATGTGTCAAAAGATTGAGGATGGGTTAGTGACCTTACACAGGAACTTAGGTCTGTAAGTGTAGCCTCCTTTAAGGACAAAGTAGATTAGGTGTTAGCAATTACCCAGCTCAAAAAATTCTAGAGACACACTAGCCCATTAATGGGACTGCTGCTCTGTCCCTGCCAATCTGCTCCCTCTGTGAATCCCAGCAGAAGCCTAAGTGGAGGTATCCCTCCGCTAGGAATCACATGCTCCGATTAAACTCTTCCCAGAAGCTTACACTGCTTTATAACTTCAGTTTATCACAGTGCCTACCCATAGTGCTAGTGATACTCTCCTCCTAATAAGAATCTTGTTATCTTATGCTTACTTTGCTCCCTTCTATACAAATTCCTGTTCATGTACTTTTGGGTTGTGTTTGCATTATACTACCCTCTCCTCTCCTTTCCCAACCAGAGTCACAGGCTTGGGTGTGATGTAAGTTCTTTTCCTTTCTAGTTGATTCTTTCTGCCTCCTTTACTCTTCCTTCTCCCCCTCTCCTGCTTTATCACTGGCTTCTCCAGTCTGTTTTCCTCTCTTCCTCCACCTTTGCCCAGTCTTCTAGCGCCCTTTAAGAAGTGTATTTAGCAGGAAGGTCTTTGCACACAGGTATTCATTTCTTCTTTGGCAATATTTTTAGTTTTTGTACATCTCAGAGAATTCTGCTACAGGGACCTTCTGTGGAAGAAAGGCACTAAGGAAAGCAGAGAGGAAGTGGGAAGGGAATGGGAAGGAGAGGGCCCCAGGACGACCCCAAACAAGCTAACATGGAGCATTTTGGAGTAAACTCTAAAAAAATAAATATATTCTTTCACTATTTTACTGCTTACAAAGTGCATTTTTATATTTGTTACCTGATTTGTCTGTGGCATAGATATCCTTTATCACATTTTGCAAATGGGGACCTGGGGTTATAAATTAATATGAACTATAATGATGTAGTTTATAAA